ATATTTATTATAAATGTAAATTATTTACTTACAAAAGGGTGTGGGTGTGAGTGTGGGTGTGGGTGAGGGTGTGGGTGCGGGTGTGGGTGTGGGTATGGGTGTGGGTGTGGGTGTGGGTGCGGGTGTAACTGTCGGTAGAAATAACATCGAGGCCTCCATCTACCAACACACACCCACACCTCACACCCACCCGCACACCCACCCTCACACCCCACACCCACACCCACACCCACACCTCACACCCACCCGCACACCCATACTCACACCCTACATCCACACCCACACCTCACACCCACCCGCACACCCACACTCACACCCCACACCCACACCCACCCTGATAGTTCGTGTTACTTCTTCTTAAAATCCATAAATTGAAAAACAATAGAAAAGAGTTAAGGCAAAAGCTTCGGGTAGGGGTAGGTGTGGGTGTGGGTGGTGGGTGTGGTGTGGGTATGGGGTGTGGGTGTGAGTTGGAGTAGGTGTAGGTGTGGGTGTGGGTGTGGATGTGAGGATGTGGGTGTCCGTACCTCTTTTTATCGAGACCCACACCTACAGCCACAGCCACACCCACCCACCCACACCCACACCCATACCCACACTCATACCCACACCCACACCCACACCCACACCCACCCATACCCACACCTACTTTCACAGTTAAATCATAATTTTAAAAAGAATCTAATGTAGCAACAAATACAAAGTTTTACATTGGCATATGCTAAACATCGAATCACTTGGAACAATGTTTTTTTTATATAGGTTTACTTTTTCTTCCATCGAGCACATTTGATTCACGGTGTGAGAGTATCTACACTGGCCCATCCCATATCCTCAGACTCAAAACCATAAATGGGGTACAAAATGTGTACCTTCGGGTACAAAATTTACTGGGGTATGAAATGGCGAAACGGAATATTGTACCTTAGAATGGGGTACATATGGCAGCTCTGTTCCAAACTCAACTGAATTCTCATGTCAATTGTGACATAATTATATATCCACGGAAAGCAAAAGTTAGCCACTATGTTTGATCTCTTTTTACACTCGAAAAGAACATTTCGAAAAAAGTAATGATACCATTTGATAGCGCTTGAAATTCTCTATCAGCCTGTGTATTTGTATTTTAGTTTGCGCTTGAACATTATGAAAATAACTTGAGTATAACGAAGGCACCTCCATGCTCTCATTCCCAAAAAACGGACTTTCTAGTTCTTAATATTTTTCATTACTATAGAAACATGTTTTTTAAAAAGTCATTATATATTCTGATAGAGCTTGGAATTCTCTATCATGCCATATATTCATGTGTTGATTTGCATTTATTTGTTAAAAGATAATTCGAATAGAATTAAGAGAGTGTGGGTGTGGATGGATGTGGGTGTGTTGGTGGGTGTGGGTGTGTGGGTGGGTATGGGTGTGAGTGTGTGAGCGGGTGTGGGTGTATGGGTGGGTGTGGATGTGGGTCTGGGTGGGTGTGGGTGGGTGAGGGTGTGGGTGGGTGGGAGTATGGGTGTGGGAGGGTGCGGATGTGGGTGTAGATGAAGAGGAGAACCACTGCCACATCGTACATCGAAGCTCACATTCACATTCAGACCCACGCCGTCATACTTACACCAAGATCCATCCACACACCCACGCGCACACTGCCCACACTCACACGCTAAGTCACTTTTTTCAGCAGCATTTTATAATGGAAAATTTAACATTATCACAAGCACAGAAGTTTTCTTCGATAGTTATGTTCATGCCGTTGCTATCATCAAGTTTTGTTTTGGCAAGTGCAACTTTAATGAAAACACTGCGAATGTCAGAATAAACCATACCAAACAGTTGAAGAGATTGCCATTTTGTTCCACCAGCAGTAGCTGAAAATAAAAAATAAGTATCGTCAACATTTAGGAGTTAATGTTCGCTATATTTACATTTTAAGATAGGACTGTAGCGTATACCGTTCGAGTTCACCAAAAATAGCTCTACGTAGCCGTAATGGTTACCAGAACATCGGAAGTTGACCGATGCATTGAAGCGAGCAGTGCCATTAGAAATCAACAAAGAGAATGTACTAAGATCAATGACTTGACTGACGGATGCAGCTATTTTGGAATTAAAGAATGAAATCACTCGGAAATAACATTTTCCGAATTGTTCCGTAATATTCTCATTCTTATAAGCCATTACTTTGATTTCTCCTTCATCAGAGACAATCCAACCAGTAATGTTGATAGCATCATTTGTTGTGCACTAAGAAAAATGATCAGTAAGCAATATCATGACGAATATCCAACATTATACAAAAGGTGAACATTCTTTGCGTATTGATTCGATGATTATCTCGTGAGTATTTTACACCTGGTAGATAACGAAGAAGCTTTCGTTGAATGTTATTAAAAAACCAGAAAAGGCTTTAAATGCTTGCAAACCTTTGAAGAACTCTAGTAAAGACGATAACTGTGGCATGTTCAAATTATTAAAAAAGGGAAAATAAAAAAACTTCCGAAGTTTTGCAGACTATACATGAATCCCATTGAAAAATATTTTAAAAACCAACGCTTAACTCGCTCGCTTAATTGGAAAAAATGGAAAAGTCTTTTTATACGGAGAATTCTTAGTTTTATCATCTTCATGTTCGGGCTTACGTTTTGTTCAACACCACCATTCGTAACCAAATTTGCGGTTTGAATTGGTCCCCAGGTTCCGTTAGGTAAAATGGAGTTATACAACGTCGAATTACGCAATTGTTCATTCGATACAAGTGCTCCTGTTAAATTAGTATTTGTAAAATCCAGCGTGCTCCGAGTCCACCAGGCTCCAGTGAAATCACATTCGCTCAACGAAGCTCCAACGAACTCCGCATGAGTCATATATGCTCCACTAAAATTTGCTTTATCCAACAAAGCTCGGTTGAATGATGATCCTCTTAGCTCTGTATTGAAAAATGTGGTGTTATATGAAATTGACTTGGCAAAGTTGGCATACCAAAGTAAACAGTTAATAAATGATGAATTCGATAAGTAAGCACCCAGCAAATGAAGTCTTTGAAATGAGCACTGAGCTTGTTTGGTTCCGTGGAAATGGATTCCATTGAAATCAGCTCCGTTAACTTTCAATAACGATGAAATTGCTTGCTGTGGTTCCTTATATACCAGTCGATTCTCATAAAGAAACAGAAGTAAAAGATTTTTTCGTTCTGGGTCGAGTTGTCTAAGACTAGTCAATGTTTTCATACGAATTTGTAATAAACTTTTTGTTCCATTTTCCATCATTAATAATTTTGAGGTATCATCAAGGTAGGCAGCAAATACGTTTTCTTTTCGTAAATTGCTCGCTTGATGGTCTGAATGTTGTCTAAGCAGGAATGCATCTTGCTTGTCTTGTTCATGCTGTTGCGTTGACAGTTTTTGCTGTTGAATTGTAGTGACTATTGTAAATATAGCAATCATTAATGGGATTGATGCAGACAAACACAATTTGATCCATTCGTGACCGTTGGTTTCCCTTCGTCCAGTGTTATTTTTACAAGTGGATCTTCGTCTAGGACTGATCTTCGTTGGACGTCGTTGAAACATTATTGACCAACTCGTTTACGTGATGAAACTTTTCTCTTATGAATGCTGATATCGAACCAGCGAGTATGTTTCTATTCTCCCATGATACCGTTTGCCTTCTTTCTCTGTTTGGTGTACGTGAGTGATACAAAGGAAAACATTCAACAAA